AATATCCTCATCTTTGTTGTTATTATCACCTGATCACCTTCTGTCTGAATTTCTGGGATGTGTTATCATCATAACCTTCCAGACTAATATCTTTGTTGTTTTTATCATAATATTTTTGACCATTATATCTTCCAACTTTCATCAGATGCTTCTCGATCAGGGTAACTAACCTTCAGAGAATTTCAAACAACCTTTTATTTAATCTACAGCAGTCAATCATTTTTGTTCTCCTGTTCATGTCCAGGTATATCCTGTCTAGTCTTTATTTAGTACTGTTCAGTTATTATTCATCTTGTTTCGATTGAGTTTTTTGATATAATATTTGACATTGAAATAATGATTAAGCACAAGTTAACATTTTTAACTTCATCAGAGAGAGAGTCTAATATAGACTGATCTTTTTAAAATTGGTTTTAAAAAATCCTTCAAAAACATTTAAAATCCTAGTCTTCACAAGCTCTTTAGTATTACTACTGACTTCACAATAAAATCAAACTTCAGATGACAAAACTTTTCAACTGATTTGCATACACCAGCCATGATTGCCACCTTCTCCACCCTTAAAAAACTGAGTCATACTAAAGAATGGCAATTTTAAACGTCAAAACATGACTTATAATGGCAATTTCAAATCTGTCTACAGTCATGATGAAAAAAGTTTTTTACACATTCAAGTTTGAAATTTCCAAAATACCTTTCTTGCCAACAAACTTCATTCAGTAGCAAATATTAATCACGTTGATCAAACATTATCATAGTTAAATTTTGATCCTATATTTTTATTATGTATCTATCGATCCATATGTGTGTTGATATTTGAAGGGGTGCTGAAAAATTTTGGGCCCAAGAAAGAAATTTCAAGAAGAGAAAAATTCTATTTTAGATCAGAATTTAGAAAGAACTTTTCATCAGTTCTGGTGAATAAATGTGGAACCATGCACATGTATTTAAATTTTTAAATTTAAGAATGACCATAAGTATTCTTTAGGCTAAGTGTGATAGTCAAGGTAAACTATGAAAGTGATTGAATTTAATGCCTAAAAACAAAAGTAAGTAAATGTTGGAACTTTTTTGTTTTTTTAATTTCAATAACAATAACATTTACTCACTTTCATCCTCCATAGTTTAACCTTGACGATATTCAGTCCCCCCCCCCACGAGGATGCCATGTGGCACAAGGCCTTTTTAACGTGGGCATTCTGAGCCCATGGGCTTGGCCAAAAATATAAACGGGTTCAGGACCGGTTTTACCTCCCCGAAAAAGACTCCGCCCTTCGGCGTAGCCACCTTCGGGTTCCTCCCATCCGTAGGAAGAGAGTACAACCGTACAGTCGCTCAGAAAGCTTGACTGTCACAGTTTGCCTAAAGAATATCTTACAAGAGTTCTTAAAGTTAAAACTTTTGAAAACTTAACATGTTTATAAATACTTGTTGCAAAATAAAATCCTTACATTTGCCATCAAAGGTCGAAATGAGTTGGTAAAGAAAAGTTCTTTTTTCTTTATATATATATATATATATATATATATATATATAAAGAAAATACCATTATCCATTACTCCATTATACCATTATCCATTACTCCACCAGGCCTCACACACATATATATATATATATATATGTATGTATGTATGTGAGGCCTGGTGGAGTGATGGATAGCAGCTTGGACTGAGGAATCGGAGAGCCAAATTTGAATTCCAACTGAATCCATTACATTCACTTACGTGCTAATACCCTTGGGAAAGGTATGAATCCTGTTCTCTCTTCATCTATGGATAAATAACAGGACAGACTAGGTTCTATAGCTTTGGATGGCAACTGGTCTAGGAGAAGGACAACTCTGAATTCAAAACCTGCAGGGGACCTTGAAAGTGTGATTGGTTCTGCACAAAATCTTCACCACTATAATCAAATCTTGTGCTGGTGTCGAGTTGTCAGTTTCTTAGGAAGTGATTGACTTGACCCTCATACGTCGAATTCAACAGGGAGAGTCAAGTATATATATATATATATATATATATATATATATATATATATATATATATATATATATATGGTGTCCATAAAGTCTCTTTACAATTTAAAAAATGATTGCAAAACCAAATAAACAGATAAATATGTGGAAATTGTTACAAAATGAGGAGTAGATATTGAATTTTTTTAAGTAATTTAATACACCTTTATATAGGCACCATTAGTTGCATGAAGCACATCAAGACAATACTCAATTTCTTGCCATGTTTGCTGTAGCGTAGCCTTATCAATGCTAACAATGGCATCAGTGATCTTTTGCCTCAGATCAGTGATGTCCTGTATCTTTGTTCAATATATGATATCTTCAACATAACCCCATAGACAGAAGTCCAGGGGAGTGATATCTGGTGAACGAGATGGTTAGGGAATTGGGCTATCCCTTTGAATCCAATGGTCTGGAAATGTTAGGGGTTCATTTAACAGTACCTCTTTAATCAACAAGAAACACCTGAAATACACAAAACCAATGAGATTAAAACTTTGATAACTACTTCATCAATTGCCTTTAATACATTTTTTTAAATTGCAAAGAGACTTTATGGACACCCATATATATATATATATATATATATATATATATATATATTACTCTTCAAGTACGAATTGAGTTCTCTTAGTTGCTAGTGCATTTCATATAGAAAATGCTAAAATTTCCCTTTCTCTCTGCCGTTGCACCGGCGGCTTAGGGGTAGGATTTTTTGACTGAGACCAAATCAGTTGAGTTTCAATCCTGGCTTGAAGCAATCAGACATCTAGCCACACTGAAGAGCTGTGATACAGCAAAACAGTCTGCTTGTGGATGACTATATGTGTGTGTGTATGTGTATGTATGTATGTATATGTATGTATATATATATATATATATATATATATATATATATATATATATATATATATATATATATAAAATATCACACATTGAGTGCAGGTACTAATATTTTTACTCACATCATAAACAAAATAGACTGATCGGTTATCAATATAGTGCTGTATAAATATCAATATTTATATTATGCAATTTTCAATCAGAACCTGAAGATTACATTGTGCATGAAACTCAAAGTTGCGTTATGGCAAGAACGGGGGTCGGGGAATGTATAATGTTGTGATAACCACAACAAGGTGAGGGCAGTAGTCCAACTAAATAATGATAACTTTTCAAGTTAAAATTGACGTGCGTCTTTCAGACTAAAGCATTCTCAGTATCTACAAAACAACAGCCTAGTGGATTAAAGCATTGGTTCATGGGTCATGGATTCATTCATTAGTTCAATCTCTGGGCCAGAACTAAAGGAGATATCCCTTGACATGGGCAGTGGAATGAGAACAGTTTAACCCTATAGATTAAATAATGTGTCCAGTTCAGAATTCCTTGTAGGTTACCCAGATCGATATATACCTGATGAAAGTCAGAGAGTACAACAACTGAAACTTTGTGATAATAACAACAAATATGAGGACAATAGTCTGAACAGAAATAGTGTAAATAATGAAAATTCATCATGCCGGAAATTTAGTTCAATTTTGTTATTCTTTTCACAATTTGTATTTTTCTTCTTATATACACAACTTTTTTGTTAAAATAATAATGAGTAAATGTTTGGTAAATAATATTGATGTATTAATAAAATGATAGGGGTGATAATGAACACACTGAAATTAAATATTATACTGTTTTATTAAATTGGTTGACATCATGAATGGGGGGGGTGTTTAATGATCGGTAGCAAGGGGCATTGATATTTAGATGGGAATTGGTGACTTTTAATCGGAAACAGGATTGCTCAATTTAAGTCATTGGTTTAAATTACAATTTAAATCAAATGATTTTTTTAAATCACCAATTTAAATCAATTTTGCAAAAATTTTTATTTAAAGCAAAATGTTTAGAAATAAAACACTATTTTTTTTATTCTAATGAAGGAAGAAAACTGGTTACATATTGATTTATATTTATTAAACAACTAAATCTTTTTTTTTTTCTTTGACTATAAAATAAATTTTTAATGATTAACAAGTTTTAAAATTTAACATGAGCAGTGTTCACATTCACGGACTTAAATAGACCAGTTTTGCTGCTTTACCTGTACCAAGATGGATTCTCAGTTTCACCAGTCCATAGGACAAGAAAACTTGTTCAACACCAGAAGTGAAGCCAATGCTGACAGGAGTTGCTTAACTGCAGAATGTATATCACTGCTAAACACACTTTCAAAGTTAAAAATCAACAGAGACAGGAATTGAAAAACCCAGATCCAAGTTTAAAAAAAACACTGAATGTTATTGTTGTTAGCAAACAACCCATAAAAAAATACAAGATTATTTATGTACAAATCAATTATACATAGCTGAATCAATGTCAATCTGTTATTTTAAAATGCCGTAAGAATAAAATAGTTGTATGACATTGTCTGGAAAAAAACCCAAAAACATTGAATTGAATGTAGATTCACTTAGTACCTTAAAAATAGGAAAAATTAAATGTAGATGTTTATTGACTAAATTGCAAAAAAGTCAAATATAATCCAAAATTAAATACTAAATTGTTAATTTGGCAAACCTAAATTATCATACTGTCATAATCTCTCAAGCTATTCATATCAGCTTTTCTCTTTATTTTGTTTTCTTCATGTGAAAAAAATGAAAAAAAAAAAAAATGAAAAATTTAATTTAACTAATTAAAAATCAACAACCCTAGTTGGAAGACACTAGGATTTATTGGCTGACCACCTTTTGAATTCCCCAGGCATTTATCAACCCCCTGGATAGTCACATCAACTCTGAGGAGTCAATATTGAATACTTTGTGGACCCCTGGCCTACTTACAGATGAATATGAAGATTGTGTTGTAACTAAACTGGCTCCCCCACCAGACCCTGGTCTGGTGAGGAGAATAAATGAAACTCCAGCAGCACAAAAAACAAGGGCTGTTAAAGGTCAAACTCCTCAGAGGCTTTTGGTCAAGTAATGTTCACACACAGGTTCTCGTACAATCACCGAAGTTAAGCAACGTTGAGCCTGGTCAGTACCTAGATGGGTGACCGCTTGGCAATACCAGGTGCTGCAACCTTGGATGTGCGGTTGGTGTAATGAATAATGGCTCAGAATTGTTAATCGGAGAACCAAGTTCCAATTCCCGTTGGTTTTCTTATATTTAATTACACACAAGCATCCTTGGAACGGTATAAATTCAACTCTTCTCTCCACAGCTACAGGTTAATTAGTAAGACTTGTATCAATAAATGATTATTATCTCAAAAAAAAAAAAATTGTAACCATCTAAAAATATTTTGTGGCTTTAATAACCTTGATAAACCATAAAAATTGAATCAATCATGAGGTCCTCAGTGTCAACGACCATCTACCCTAACTATGGGTTAAATAGCCTCACCAACTGATAATTGGCAAGCATGGTGAGTATGATTACACTTCTGGAGAGATGGTCAATTAGGGAGGGCTTCCTCCAACATGAATGAGAAGGCCTTGGATTTAGATTAAGTCGTGCCAATATTTAAATTGTGGTGAATCTTGAAAATCAACATTTAAACATACACCTAGTAGAAAGTAGACATCTGTTTAAAAGGCTCTTATCTGTTGTATTAAGTGCATTGACAGGGAAAGAGATTATGTTGAAAAATAAATACTTGCATTCCCTGTTTAAATTGGAGTGTACCATTCGTAGCATTTGAAGAAATATTCAACAGGAAGTACATTACCTATTTTTTGTGTTACCCTAAATTTTCTGCATAACTCTGAACGACAATGACAGCAGACGTGCATCGACCTTTCATTCTAGTACACTTGGCATATTCTCTACATTTACAAGAACTAGATCAGACCAAAAATGGAGTACTGTTTGAATTCAAAATTTAAATGCAATGTCAATTGCCATCTTCTATTGCCTTGATCTCTGTCCTTTCTTCCTTCTCTCAATCTCCTCTACACCCATTCCTTTCTCTTACTCTCCATAATCCTCTGCATGCTAGCCGCATTCCTGACTTGCTTGGGGTGAAATGCTTTAAAAAAAAAAATATGTGCAAGAGCAGCCCAGTCTTCATTTTCCAGTTTCAATAGAGTCCAGAAGCATTTTCACATCTTTGCGGGTAACGATTTATTATCCACCACTAATTTCTTTCTCACAGACAAAACATCACAAGCCTGTCACTGCTCTCTCACTATTTCTACAGAAAGTATTGAGATGAACTACATTCTGTAGTTCTACCAGTTCTAGCCTTCACAGCTAAGACCTGCCATACCATGCCTATTGTAGTAAATTTTTGTGATATTGGATGGCTTCACTTATCATTTTTGCTATGTCAAGCAAAAGCTCATTATCACTTCTGAAAATGCTTGTTATATTTGAGACTTTGTAGACACTGGTACTAGTAGTAACACCTTCCAATAATATCTGCACTAGTAATACTTGTTCAAGTAGTAATCGCCAAATAGTATAATGATCAGAAGAGTACTAGACTAGAAAGAGAGAATGTATAGCAGTAGTGAATAGACAAGAAGAGTGAACAGTGATTGTATAAACATCACGCTACTTCCTATTTATTCACTTCCTTTATGATCACATGATCTACTTAATAATGGAATCGCCCATTTTTCTCAATGGAGAGCTAGTTTTAAACGACAGTGTAGGCAACGACACTTACTCTTATACAATATGAACCACCCTCATTCTCTTCATATTCCATTGGTGAGACGAAAGTTCCACTAACGCAGCAGCTTTCCACAAACCACTGCTTTATAGAACAAACTCCCAAGAAAAAGCTTCCCCAATCACTACCTGTTCAAGTCTAGGATTAACCATCCATTATCCATCTGTGCCTCTTACTCCATAACCCTCTACCTCAAGTGGCTCCCGGGCCTTGTACAAGGTGAACATCAGTGTAAACAAAAAAAATCTTATTTCCTTGTTAAAATATAGATATTGTATCCTTCGTATTAATTCTTTCATTTCTTGATTTTATTTCAACTCTCTCGTCATCAATGAATAATATAAATTAACCTTTACCACGCTGCAGGTGACAATTGTCGCCCTAGAATTCTCTCACTTTGCATTCTGTCACCTTGAGACGGTTTCTATAAATAAACACTTGTCAACTGTTATTTCTGGTATTTTAAGCTGGAAATCATCTACTACTGCTTTGGAAGAAGGTTGAACGTTCATTTTCCAATGCCATTTTGAATTTTTCTCGATTCTACACAAGATGTAACACCAATTAAATCCACATTAATTTTTTTCGTAAACAAAAATGGCCACATCAATATCAAACAGAGTCTTTATTCAGGAGTTTTTTATCTGTCTATATTTCTTAGATGAGGTATTATGTACACTATATACATTATTCGGACTATTGTCTTCATCTTTATCGCTATATTTATTACAACATTTCAGCTGTTGTACACTCTGGCCTTCTTCAGGTGTTTGGAATGTCAAACTGAACCCTTTATTTCGCTCATTGACACATGGCACAGTGGATAAAGGCGTTAGTTAGATCCAGTGACAGGATACATAGAGTGTGAGTTCAATACCTGGTTAAGGCGGTGGAGAACTTGGGGCAGGGTATTAACATAGGTTAACTGATAACTGACATGGCACATGGAACTAGAACAGTCTACCCCAGTGAGCAAAATAAAGGGTTCAGTTCAACATTCCAACCACCTGAAGAAGGCTGGAGCCTACAACGTCCGAAATGTAATAAATATGGCGACAAAGATGAGTACAATAGTCTGAATAATGTAAATAGGAGATTTTTTTTTTTGTTTTTGTTTTTTAATTCACATTCCAATTTTTTGGTTCTCAACATCAAAACATGTATGCAAAATGTAATGCATTACATCAAAATATTACTCATTCGTTCTTTTATTAGTGTACAAAAAATAAAATCTATACACACAATACAAAGAAAGTTATAACAATTTTTAAAACGGTCACTGTTCATATTTTTGCACCCTCAAAAATGCAGTGGCAGGAGGAACTATTCTAGAAAGAAATTAACATGGTAAACGTTAATTAGCAACCCTTAAATATTCTGTCCTATGGGATACATTTCCTTGTTCAAATAAGTAATATGACATCGACCTGATGGCTTAGCACCATAGACATCATTGCTTGAAGTTGTTTTTTCAAGCCAAAGTATAGATTTGGTCTACCTAGTATATTATTTCTGAACTGGTGTTTCCCAAAACCTGAATAGATCACTAGGGGTTCTGTGAAAAACAATGATAAATAGGCTAATGCAATTTTGATAATTTTTGCCTGCTACTATATTATATTACCATCCATTATCTACTACACTATGGTATCTATTAAACATTTTTTACTATAGTATGTTATTTACCAACCCCTAACAGTATGAAATATGTTAGGGGTAGAGTTAGGTTTAAAGGCACTGAACTGGTTATGTGTTAAAAATCATTAATCCTTCTGGAGGCATGGTGGAGTAATGGATAGCGGCTCGGATTGAGGAATCAGAGAGCTGAGTTCGAATTCCATTTGAATCCATTTGGAAAGGTATGATTCCTTCTTCTTCCCCCCAGCTATGGGTAAATAGCAGGACTGACCAGGTTCTATTGCCTTGGATAGCAACCAGTCTACTGCAGAAAGAAATGGCAACCTACTGCAGGAAAAAATCTGCCTCGTCAGTCATGTATCGAAAGATACATGATTGCCTAAGTGTGTATCATGCATAACTGACCGACTGAATTCTTCCTACAAAATATTTTTAAATAATCATCAAATAGTTATTTAAATGTTTGTAAACTGATTTGATGTCATTTAATAAAACAAACAGTAAACAGGTCATCGTTTTTCCTGAGCATTTTCCAGCAATAATGAGTGTATTGTCATTTAAGGTAGGTTGCAAATACCTCGGTAGATATCATGCTAGTATTTACACAAGGCAGGATGTGGCACAAGGCTGATTTTTATGTGGGGCATTTCTGAGCCCATAGGCTTGGGCAAAAATTCCCCGTAGACCTGCATACATGGATCTGTCTACCTCTCAAATGAGACTCTGCCCACAGGCATAGCCTTGTCTGGATTCCTCTCTGCAGGCAGAAAGTTTGACAAATCAGTCACAAGCCTGGCAATGAACTGACTTTGACGGACTTCGGTAGATATCATACTATAATAGCACTAATTTTTGTTTAATTTTACATTCATAATTTCACTATACATGTACAGCATACTGTTGGAAAATCCTCAGTTCTTATAATAAAGCTTCAACCTTTTATATTATTTCACAATCACAATCACGAGACCTGTAACCCATCATGATTGTAAGGCTACCACATGCACTACAGCAGCAGTGGTGTTTCCTGGGCAATATAGCCTGACAGAGCTTGACCCTCTCCAGGCAAGTTTGAATTCAGAGTTTTCCTTCTCCTAGACTAGTTACCAACCAAGGCTATAAAAGTTAATCTGTCCTGCTATTTACCCATAGGTGAAGGAGAGAAAAGATCAATTCATATCTTTCTCAAAGGTATTAACATGTAAGTGAATGTAATGAACTTGCCTGGAATTTGAACCCTGCTCTCTGATTCCCCAAACTGAGCCACTATCCATTACTTCACCATACTATATTAGCTTACTTCACAGCTATGTTATTTAAATAATTTTATAATAATCATTGGGAATTCATTTAGAAATGTGTATAACCGCCTTCACTGGATAGGGGGCCAGAACCTGTACATGGCGGATTAGTGTATCTTTGAATGACTCACTCAAGTACAGGACAAATGCACGGTTTTTCATCTTCTCTATGCGTCCTGACATGCAGGTACGGTACCTCATTCACCCACATTATTCAGTAAATTTTACCAAGTATTAGTTATATGAATTCTAAAAATTTAAGTATTATTTTTTATTATTTACTTTTTATTTAGTTTATGAGAAGTCTCTCTCTCAAGGTTGTTTTTCTGTTTACCGTTATTTGCTTCAAGAGTGAGGTCTTGTAAAAGAGCAATATAATTTTTTTTTTTTTTTTGCATTGCCAATAAAATTAGCAAAAAAAGGGGTGGCATTTTTTCCTTAAACCAGTTATCTGAATATATATG